ACAGATGTAACAGAAATACGAAAGATCATGAGAGAATACAAGGAGCACTTGTACACCAACAAACAAGAAAACCTAGATGACTTGTACATATATGATTTATCAAAATTGAACCAGGAAGACATAGAAAGCCTAAGTACGCCAATAACAAGTAATGAGATTGAATCAGTAATATATAGTTTCCCAATAAAGATGAGTCCAGGTCCAGATAGCATCACTTCTGAATTTTAAAGAATCAATCCTGATTCTCTTCAAACTTATTTGGATCTTATTTCTAAAGATCCCAAAAGAAAGAGCCTTCCCAAATTCATTCTATGAAGCCTCCATCTCAAAAACAGACAAGGGCATAACAACAACAACAACAAAAAACTACAGACAAATATCCCTGATGGGTATAGATACAAAAATTTTCAGTAGCATTACGTTGTTCTAAAAGTTTCTAGAGAATCAAAGAAATGTGTATCGACTTGATTTGTTTGCATATCACAGTTTCAATGAACTACAAAACCACTAGCCAATACCTTCAGTTCAGAGACCCATGAAGCATGAAAGTCAACCTCTTGTTTTTTATTTTTTGCTAGAGAGAGTGCTCACCAGAGACAGAGAGATTGAGAGATGGGGAATGGAGAGAGCAACTCTCAGGAAAATGGTCAGGCTACAATCACTTCTCCTCCATGTCTTTTTTCAGGATTTGGGGCATGCATTTATATGTGCCCAAGTGTGTTTCTCAAGCCACTGTATCTAGGACTCGAGCTGCCTGATTGGCCATGTGGGATCCTGTGGGATCTGCCTTAACCACCAGGCCATGAAGCTAATCCAGAAGCCAGCCTCTTAAGTGTAACTTAATTTACCTGGGACACCCTGGATATATCTATTACTTTTTTTTTTTTTGAAAAGTTTTCGCTATAGGGCGTGTGGGCTTGCCAGAAAGACGGAGAAACAGAAAGGGAGAAATCACCCCCTGGGGGATGGCCACACCACAATCCCTTCTCCTCCATGGTCCTCTCAGGATCTTTTTTTTTTTTTTTTTGACATGTTTTCCCT